TTTACAGAAACACCGCAGCTAGTCGTTGTGTGGCTGTTCGCGCACATATCGCACTCGCCTTCAGAGAATGGGATGCGAAAGATATTGCCCTATGTGTGTATGTGTGTGTGCATGTGTTACATGGTCGTGGGTGCGTCCCCGTACCTGCAAACCGCTCTAATACGAGCCGAGGGCTCAAGGGCTGCCAGATCGCCTTTAAGCACCATCCTACGTCGCACTTCAGACAAAGCAGGTGATATAGGCGACTAACGACCAAAGGGAACCATAGAGTTGCGGTGGGACCACATATGTTCCAGCATCCATGTCAGACGTTCAGGTTCCCACTTCACAGCGTCCTTCATATGCTCGAAGCGTGAAAAATCCATACCAGATCTGATATTGCCGTATACCGGACATTCCAGCAAAATTCGCTTCCTATCTTCAGTATGGCTATCGGTGCCGCAGCAGGGGCATACTCGCTCCTCCCTCAATATACAACGCCGTCCCTTACGCGCTCTGTTCACTGCTAATGCCCAACAGCAAAGCATAAACTGCATAGGCTTGCGATCCGCTGAACGCGGGATAAACGTTACGATATGCGGGAGCATCTTCTTCCTGCGCGCTCGTTCCGCCGCCAGACCCATCCCATGCTTACATTTCGCCATGTAAATTTCTGGTTGCTTGCCGTCTGACGGGTACACGTCTGGCTGGACATCTACACGCGTATGCCTCCAACCACTTATCATTCGGTCCTTGAACTCCAATACCACACCTTCTGCCGATGGCCTGTTCGTTAGCCATTCAACCCGTTCGCCTACCTCATGTAGCCCTTGCGGGGCCTCTTTCCATACGTTGTGCCCCAGAAAACTTAGAAAACGGAGGAGTAGTGTCCCCCATCCAGCCCCTTCGGGGTTGGAGAGGGACTCTACGACCCCGTGTCGCAAAACTTCATCTGCCATGGACCCCGAACTGTAAACGGCTTCCACAGGGTTCCATCGGCTTGAAAGCGTGGTAGTGTAGGGGTAGCCGCGACAATTCAGCGAACAGGAGGCGGTGCGCCTGCCCGACAGCTCCCACAATTTCCGCATGAATGATACCTAAAGCAGCACCGCTCCGTCATTCAGATATGCCTCAAAGGGCCCCTCTGCAATTTTCTCGCGTCACTCCGCATCCTGAGCCTGTCCAAGACTTGAGCTAGTATTAGCGGTCCCCCAACTTGACTTTGCCATATAACAGTACACTTTGCAATATAGACCCACACTGGACATATGGTCCATGTAGATTTGCAACCCCGCATCATGCCTTCATGCCACTTCGAAGGACTGCCACAATCACTACCTCAACCACCACGAACACGACCACGACCACGACCACGACCACGACCACGACCACGACCACGACCACGACCACGACCACGACCACGACCACGACCACGACCACGACCACGACCACGACCACGACCACGACCACGACTATCACCACCATCACTGTCACCATCACCGCCATTCACGTTTCGGTGCTGAACTGCTGATGTTGGTGGTGTGATGCGCGGCGCAGGTTTCTTTGGCGCCGACTGCGCTTTGTCTCTGGGTGCGGATGGCAAGCCACAGGTGCTTGCGGACCGGGGCTACAGAGCTCGCTCCAGGGGGCCTCGGGTCTACGTGTACGACCTGCCACCCAGCATGACAACATGGTAGGGCGGGAAGGGAGGGA